TACAAAAATTTAGGCCGTATATAGAAGGTCAAAAATTTACGGTTATAACGGACCACTACTCATTGTTGTGGTTGAAGCGAATGTCAAACCCTGTCGGGAAATTAGCTCGTTGGGCAGTATTATTGTCCAACTTTGATTTTGATTTAGTTCACCGTAAAGGTACCTTGAATGTTGTCGCAGATTCTTTATCCCGAGTGCACCCTGTGGTTGACTCCGTATTAACATCTTCAGAAGATTTTGACGAATGGTATACCTCATTTAGAGATAGAATTTTAAAGAATCCTAAAACATATCCTCATTTTAAAGTAGACGGTAATTTTGTTTATAAGTATATGCCTGAAAAATCGAACATCAATACAAATATTTCAGACTTTAAATTATTTGTTCCTTCCTCACAACGTAAACAAATATTACAAAAATGTCATGATGACCCATTAGCAAGTCATATGGGGTTCTTTAAAACTTTTAGCAGAATATCGTCTGAATATTATTGGCCACAGATGCGCCGGGATATTGTTAGGTACATTCGTGCGTGTAAGACCTGCAGTGAACAAAAAATTGCCTTTGAGGGAACTTATGGCAAAATGGGTACTGAAAAGCGAGCTAGTTTTCCTTGGCAGATTATTTCTACAGACATTTATGGTCCGTTACCCCGTAGCAAAGGTGGAAATTCATATATACTCCTAGTTTCGGATTGGTTTACCAAATCTGTTCTATTACACCCAATGCGACATGCCACTGCTCAGGAAATAGTCAAGTTCATGGAAAATCAGGTTTTCTTAGTTTGGGGGGTACCTCAATTTATTATTGCTGATAACGGCACCCAGTATGCTGGCAAAGTTTTTAGACAACTTTGTGAGGATTACAAGGTTTAATTGCAGATACCATCCTAGGACAAATCCTAGTGAAAGGATTAATAGAGTAGTCGGTACCGCTCTACGAAGTTATATCAAAGACAAAACATCACACAAGGATTGGGACAAACAAATCCATAAAATAGCAGCGGCAATTCGTTCATCCACATCGGAGGTTACTGGTTACCCTAGCACTTTTTTAAATTTTGGTCGGGTAGTTCCTTTTTCAGGGGAGTATTATGGTAAAATACCTAAAATATCAGGTTCAGAGTTAGGGCCTACCGAGGTTAAATCCTATGTGGATGAACTGTCGAAACTTCCAGAGCTGTACAACAAAATAAAAAAGAAAATGTCCATAGCATATGCAAAAAATCAGCGTGTCTTTGATCTTCGAAAGCGGGATATTGCATTTAAACCAGGTGAGAAAGTCTGGAAAAGAAATTTTGTACTTAGTGATGCCTCCAAGAACTTTAGTGCCAAACTGGATTGCAAATACAAGCTTTGCATAGTTAAAAAAAAAATTTCTACTGTAGCCTATGAACTTGAGTATCCTGATGGTACCAATGCAGGAGTATGGCATGTTTCTAAGATCAAACCATACTTTGGGTCAAATTCGAACATTTCTGTGGGGTGAGGTCGATAGAATAGATAAAGGTAACGTAGTTTTTTTGTGAAATGGCGTATATTGAATTTTAACTTTGGCAAATATTTTGTATTGTTTACTGCTTTGCAGTTTATGCTATAGTTTTTGATTTGGTTTCAAATCTCACCGGTGAGTAAAATTTTGTTGTAAGGCCTGTATGTAAAACCATGGTTAGTTTTAGTTAGTTTAGGTTCAGTTAGGTTTAAGTTAGGTTTAGATTTCCGTGTATGTGGTAACTCACTTCCCTGTAAAACATTTAGCTATCTAGCTATTCCGGATAGTTCTATCAGAAGTTGAGTCACCCTGTTGTGCTTTGTGCTATATAACCCAACCGGATTACGTATTTTTACCGATTATGACATTTACTGATTTTGACATTTACTAATTTTGACCCTTTTAAAGGCGTTTGATATGCGTTAAGTATCAACTAGCAGAAAGCCAGTCTCATTCCCTTCTAAGTTCTTTAGAGCTCTCTGTGAGTATGAGAAGTTTTCCGTCAGGCCAACATTGAAACCCCAACAATTGTTGCTACGATAGTCACAGCGAGATCGTACGGCCTGTAGCTAAAACCCATCCAAGTGGTGATGGAACAACATCGTGCCTTTCACCACACTGTGAGTTACCACGGTTTGTTTTGCCTGGTGTAGTAACTGTTTGGATTCCGGGCTTAAGAGTGTGTTGGATGTGGAGGGGGTGTCTTTTCTGGCTCGGAGGGTCTACCAGGGAAGGCGTCAGAGTTCTCCGCCGACGCGCCTTATAACATCCAGGAGCGATGGGTTCTCTGGCGGCCTTGGTGGGTTTTCTGGTCAGGGGGGATAGTCTCTCCTGCGCTACCACATTCTTGAGTGCGGATACAGGCAGTTATTTTAGTTTAGTTTAATGATTACCCATTTGTTTATAAATTCTGATCAGGCCGACACTTAGTTGTCGCTATGGCATGCACGGCAAAGCCATATCGCCTGTAGCACCTTTTTGTCCAGTCTTTTCAATGTGGTTCCAGTTAGTGCAACTGGTCACTGGGACACTCCCTTTACCTACTCGGAATTCGTTCCGAGTACCTACTTCTTTTTTTTCTAACGGTATGTCAAGGCGACATGCCGTAAGACTTTTTCGAATAATGTACTGCACATTATTTCCCATTCGTTGGAGGGATGGCCTGTTTCAGATACAGGACCACCGGTTGCCTCCCTCTTTTTGTTTCTGGGACTGGTTCCCAGCGTAACTGGGTTTGTCAGGATCCTTCCTCTTCAAGGAGAATTTGCTTTACATTTAAATTAACTTTCTGACGTTTTAGTTGCTTATTGTTTAGAGGCGTTGCATGACTTAGGGTCTGCTTCGTTCCTCCTCAAAACTGTCAAATTTAAAATGTTTGTTTTCTAGGGTTAAATCATTCTTAAGTCGCCAACTCACACCAAAATTTTTATTCACACTGAAGCCTTATTAGTTTATGTTTGGGATTTGTTAGTACTCGGAAAAATATTTCTTTTGGGATAAATATTTTTATTTTTTTTGGAGAAGGGCAATTGTGTAACCATCATTTTGACGATTAAACAGTTGTTACTTATATTATTTAATTAGTGAAATGATTCGGTTTATTTTGATTTTCTTTGTTGAACGATGACAGCTATGTTACCAAATGGGTAGATTCCTTTGGGAATAAGAAAGGCTTATTCTATTATTTGGTAGGTGTCGCTAATTGGTTACATGGTTGCCACGATTCGTTTCAGTTTGGAATTAAGACGTTTAAGGGTCTTAATTATCAAATTTCATCGGGAAAAAGCTTTAGTTATGTTTCTATTTTTAAATAAATAAGATCAGTGTGAATATTAGTGGTGCGAAGATTAAAAGTTTTGTATTTTGGGAGAGATCTGGCAACGTTAAGTATCCTCGCTGTCGACGTGGTCGTTTTCGCTTCCTCTTTGACCTTTAACAGCCGTAGAGTATGCATCAGAGTCTGGGCAAAATTGTCCAAGCCTAGAAAAGTTTAGAAGAGGCTGTAAATCTTTGAATGCATAGGTTAAGTTGAACATACAGGTCTGTGAAATCCTAGAATCCCATGTAAGTAGTAATTAACGGAAATTTGAACAATTCTGACAACGAGTTCTCTCTTTTTTAGTGGATTTAAGTTTTGGTTTGGGATTGTCGCAGGTCTAAGATGTCGTTTAATCGCTGGTAATATTGTGGCTGACGATAGCATATCATAATAAGGGTAAGTCAAAGAAACTAGAATTTTCGAGATACTTAATTGCGTCGTTTTAGGTTTTTTTTATGTCGAATTTTTTTGGATGGCTTCATTTTTTTAACAACAACGTAGTTTGGAAAGACCTTGAGGTGCGTAAGGAAAATGCAAATCTGGATCTTCTATGCGCAACAGGTTGAAGAACATGGCCGACCAGTAAACTTAGCTGTCAGATTTTAAGATAATTGGCATATACAACAAACCCCAGGTCGTATAATTTTGTTATAACCACCAAAAATAGTGACCACTTCGAATTAGTGAAGAACATTTTATTGTTTTAATATGAATATTTGTTTAGAAATCAGTTTACAGTAGTGTACAAAAATTCACATCGACAATGTACACCACATATGGCCATATGAAGGTAAAATCAGTTGTATAAATTAACTTTACATTTATAACTGCACTACCACACTGTGACTAAATAGTCAATATATATCACCTTACTTGCTTGAGAAATTTTAACAGCTGGTCACCATAATACATTGGCGCCCTATTTTTTATGTTGAGCAAAAATGAGTAAGTATTAACAAACAATATTCCCCCATTGACCCATTGTTTCCCTGATAAAGGCTGCCGTACGCTATAGCCCTCAAGTTAAGGTTATAATCCATTAGTGGTCGAACTTTGTAAAATTTATCCGTACATACTTCTGGTTTATCTAAATTGTTGACTAAATGAAGGTTACTACGTAGAAAAAAAATCTCTCCCTTGTCATATTATCCAAAAAGAGATGTATTCCCAAAATATTTTCCCAATACATTCTGACGCGAGGAAACTTGTTAAGGCACCCTATAACAATATGTAATGCAATAAGAACTTGAATTTCAGAAGAAGTGGTAGTTTTAAATGGTTTGTCCTTTTGCAAGGCATATATATTTGTACACTCACATCTGTTGAAATATTGTAAAGGGTAAATATCTAGAAAAATATTCTAAAGCAGGTAAAGGCTCACTGCTGTTACCCACTGAGTCTGGGAATTTTCTCATTGGAGATGGAGCAAAAAGATCCTGGTTCCATTTAATTTCTAATTTCTTCTTTTTTTTCTTGGCGGCTGTCTTTGGTTCCTTTTTTGGTGCTTTTTTCTTGGATATTTTTTTTGCTGTCTTTTTTGTGTTTTTTGCGGCCCTTTTTATGGTTTTTCTGTTTGTTTTTCTACGTTCCTCAGCTTCTTCTTCCACTATGTCCTCCTCCTCACTTTCTTCAGTTTCATGAGTCTCATCTTCATTTTCGATTTCATAATCCTCCTCATCTTCATTTTGTATTACTTCAGTTCTAATGTCTTCCTCTTCATAGTCAACTTCATTTTTTTTTCAGTATCAACTTTATCAAGGGCTTCGGTCTCTGTTCGATTAATCGTGTCTTGGCCAACTCTAATGCAAGTGGCAGATGTTGTAGGCAAGTCATCGATCAAATCTTTATCCCCATCTTCATCGTCAGAATAGCCTAATTCTTCTATTTCAGAGAGATCTCCACGTTCCATCACTTCGATCAGTTCTTGGATATCCCGAGGATTATTGTAAAAGTATTTCTTTTTTTTTGTTATCCATTTTATGCAAGAAAGATTATATGCTAAAAAATAATTTCAGCCTGTTATTTCAAAACAAGTTACTGTTAGTTCTGCATCTAAATGCAGGCAAGTTGCATATGGTTCATTTTTATATTCGTTAAAAGGCTTAATTGCCTCTTCATCTGCTTCAGGAATGGGAATTCTTTGGACTCTTTGGGTAACATGATTAAGTCTAGATATCAGCACTGAATATAAGGAGTCTAAAGTTCTACCTTGAAAGTCTGAAATTAATTCAGTAATTGAGTCTAAAGTATTTAATGGCTATCTTTTCAGTGTCAAACACTAAATTATCAATTAAAAAAACAAAAGGATTAAGTTTCTACTTTTTTAACAACCTAGCCAAAATTTTGCGCTTCTCGTCATGGTTTCTACTGGTGACTGTGCCTCTGATCTTTAATTCATAGTCCAACTCTTCCGCGCGAAGATGCTTAGCAATAATTTTTGTCTCCAAGATTACCGAATAAAAAAATCAATACAGCAATTCGCCTATTCAACCACCGGACTTAACTTTAAAATGACTGGTTTACTAAAATTGATTCTAAAAACTACTAAAAAATCATGGACCAACTCCAAAAATTGGGCCAGTACGGACCTGAACTCAAATTTAAATTTAAATCAAAATTTAAAAATAAGGTAAACACGCATAAGTATATAAATATAAAATAAAAGTATGTCAATATAAAATAAACATTAATGTGAGTATCTCTATACTCAATAATTCGTAGAATTAAATAAAAATTTTGCCTACTTGGCATATAAAAATCAAAATATAATTTTAATCAATTGTGGGTACACACTGTATATCGCAAAGGCCTAAAAAATATTTATCGTCGTATCAAATCCGAAATTCGTAATCAGGTTATGCCGTTAATCCTAGAGTAAGATCTTAAATGTTAAGTATTAGGTTTCTAATAATTACAAAAGATTCACTTACTTAATATGTGTGTAATCCTTAAAAAAATGAGTAAATTATGAAAAATTTTACAAAGTTAAATTTGACAGATAAAAAAAATTTAAAAATTAATAAACCAAAATGCAAGTATGAAAAATCGGGGCCACACGTTTGCGCGCCAATTTTATATAACCAACTTGGGGTTATATGCTCCGGCAGCTCTCGTGTCTGGGAGCATAGGTCTGTGGGTTTTTATTCCTCATACTTACACTTTGGCCTGGGCGCCACCACAACTTTAAAGAGTACAATAACCTAAGGTTGTGGTCATTAACTTAAACTCAAAGTTTAGGTACTTACTTTATATTTCAAATGCAAATTATATTAAATTTAATATTTAGGATGTTAAAACCATTACCGAATAGCTATTGGTTTACACTAGACTAAAAATGGTTAAAAAATAAAATAATGTTTCATAATTTACTGCAACGCAGTTTTGCGCAATAAAAAAATTAATAATGATAAAAAAACCTGTATCCCGATTAGGGTTTCTGGACATCTGGTATACTCATTCAAAGGGCTGGATCAGGCTCCTGGATGCATGGGGCTATTCGTGCTCCATGGGTACTGTCATAAAAGCGATCTTTGATACAGCCAGGTCGACCGTTCCATCAGGAACTCCTCCATAGGAAAACCTCTCAGATTAATTATTTCGCTACAGTTATAAGCGAAGACCAGGATAACCTCTCCAGAAAATGTGCCCCCAAGAAAAAACCCTAAATGAATAATACTTCGTATAAAAAATGGGTTACCACAACAAAAAAAATACTTACGGAGTTTCTTCGGTTTTTTCGATAAATTTCTAAAAATAAGAGCTTCCCAGGCCGATGGAATATTTCCCAGGTACTTTAGATGGCTATTTAGCAAACTAGGAAATAGGATGACTTAGAAAAAGTTGGAATATACATTTGATTGCACTCACCACGCTGCTCGATTACAAATAACTCAATTGTTCAGGAGACCACGGCAACCACTGTTCTATCTAATTGCGCTAACTTGGTATTATAGGCAAACAACTAATTTATTACTAAACGAATCGTAATTATACTTTAGTTAGATTTAACAAATCATCTAACTTGAAAACCGCCATTCGCCCGCGTCTACCCACAGAACATCAGCGTCTACCTGCCGATTCTCCCCTCTCCTCGAACAAACCCTCATACGCAATATCAGACCAAACAATGCTACCAACGTACAATTTAATTATTGTAATATTCTTAATGCAAAGCCCACTTCAGCAATATATAAAAAATTAAAGAATTAATGAGCAACGCAGTGAATACAAACAAACTTAAATCAACTCTAGAGCCATGGCCCTTCGTGAATGCATTCCAAAGAAACAGTTGCCAAATACCGAATTTCCCTAAACCGGGTAAAACGTCAAAACAATTTGAAATAATTCAACTACCAAAATTGACAAACAAACCTTCCGAATATGAAACCCTACATAAAATAAAAGTAAGTAACGTTTTTTTATAAAAATAATAATTTTAACTAACTTATTCTAACCCCTTTTAACCTATTCTAAAGTACACTACTGTTGTAGGATTACCAGAGCCCCAGATAAACTTAAAACGCATACATACTGTAAAGAAGACCCCGGAGCACCCACACCATTCACCTACACTCACCCACTCAACCATTCATACTTATCACACATCATACATATCGAAACAATAACTAAAAGGTAAATTCAGTCGTAACCTAAAATATGTACCAAGATCTCCCTGGTTATCAATAAAACTAAAATAAACGTACTCTTTTAGGCATGGTAAATCACCACCATGAATCCAGCGACCTAAAGACCCCAAAATAATAACCAAAACATAAAAATACAATACTCTTAAGCCGATATGCGATATACAGTGTGAACAGGTGTGTACTCAATAAACTAAATTATACTTATACACAGTGCTTAACTTATTTCTAATACATAAATCATGTAGCGTTACTATTTGTGTTTTAACGGTTTTCTCACATCTACTGGTTTTCTATCATATCAACGTTTGTTATAGGATAAAGTGGTATAATAATAATAATAATAATAATAATAACGTTTATTGAGTGAAATAAATGTAAATTTACATAATAATATAATAAATGTTCAATAAACATAATAGTAATCCACGAGATGCGCTAAAGGCGTCTGTGTGTGGACATATAGTACCTACTTTATGAAGTTCAATAATAACAATAATCCATTTGTACATATAAATATATCCAAAATAAATAGATAAATAAACATAATACATAATCATAATACATAATACACCACAAGATATTGAAATAATATCTGTTTGTGGGATAACAATAATTTACATATAAGTATAATAAACGAAGTAGATTTATAAAAACACTTAGAATTAGAATTGGACGAAAACACGACTAAATATTTTAAACAACATATATCTAGCAATACAAATTAAAATTAAAAATTAAAAAAGAGACTGAATTTTTGCAGAATTAATAAAGCAAGTGTTAATAATTTGAAAGAACCAATATAGTATATAGTTCTATAAGTAACAACTTTAATCCAGCAAATCCATCTTAATTTGCCAAATAAAGGTTGTTTTTGCAAGAATAAGGTTACATGTAAGTAAAATAAGGTGAATTGTTAATTATTTCTTATATTGATTTTTTGATGGGCGTATAATCGGTCCTGTTCTTTAATAAATTTTTTACAATTATTTTTAAACATGTAAATAGTTTTGCTTTCTCTTGCCTCTTCTGGCAGGAGGGAGAATATTATGGGGGAGAGATATTTAAAATTTCTTTGGCCTATGGTTTTTTTTGGCGTATATGTATGATATATATTTGTTTTTTTTCTGGTGTTAAAGTTGGGGTTGGTTAATTTAAGGTTTTTTTTGTTTTTATATTGATACATACAAATGGCAAAGAAGAATAATTGGCGCGCATCAAACATTCCAGTTTCTATAAACAGTTGTTCAGTTGGAATTAGAAAAGTTTTATTGTAGAGTATTTTTAGTAACCTTTTTTGGGTTGTCATAAGATAATTTAGGTAGTTATTATTTACTCCTCCCCATCCTAATATTCCGTATTGTATATGCGATTGTGCTAATGCATAGTAAATGGTGTTCAGTGTTGAGATTGGCAACACATCTTTTAAGAATTTAAAGAGGGGGATTAGAGTTCTTAACTTTTTCACTAAATATTCAATTTGACCATCCCATTTTAGGTTGTGATCAATGTAGATCCCAAGGTATTTAACTTTATTAGTTTTGTCTATTCGAATGGTATTGTTGCTTGTAGTTATATCAATATAATTAAAGGCTGGTAGTGAAGATATGTAGGACGAAAAGGGTAAGAAAAATGTTTTAGAATAGTTAATGGTAAGCTTTTTATAGTTAAACCAAAGTATTAAATTTGAAAAGTCTAATGTAACCTTGTTTTTTAAGGTGTTCCAATTGTTATCTTCATAGTATATGACGGTATCGTCTGCGAAGGTAAGAATGTCACCACTGGACCTTTGCAAGAATAGATCGTTTATGTAAGCAATGAACAATAATGGGCCTAGTATGGTCCCTTGAGGAACTCCATATTCACAGTGCAAAAAGTGGCTTCTTACGTTGTTAACCTCTACACACTGTTTTCTGCCATTTAAATAGTTTTTGAACAATACTAGTACTTTTCCTCTTAAACCTATTTGTTCTAAGGATTCGAGCAACAGAGCAAAATCAACTGTATCGAATGCCTTTGCAAGGTCTAAGAATAAAGCAATGGATGGGGCGCTTTTATCGAGAGAATTGTATATTTTATTGGTTAACGAGGCTATGGCATTTTCGGTGGAGATCCCTTTTTGGAAGCCATATTGTTTATTGGAGATTATGTTATACTTCTTAAAGAACTTTTCAAGTCTATTCTTAAGAACGTATTCTAATATTTTTGCCACATTGCTTATTAATGAGATTGGTCTATAATTTTCGCATATAGATCGGTCACCTTTTTTAAAGATAGGCTTGACTATAGATATTTTAAAGCATTGTGGAATATCTCAGGTATCCAAGATGGTATTGATAAGGTATGTGAGTGGTTTTGTTATAGAGTTGGCAGTTTCTTTCAACGTTTTTATTGTTATATTGTCGTAACCAAATGATTTCTTGTTTTTAAGATTTTTTATTATATTCAATATTTCGTTTTCATTTGTGGGTTCGAGAAAAAAGGAATTCTGAAGAATTTTTTTGTTGGGTGTATACATTGGGTTATTAACTATTTTGTTTGCAAGTTCAGCACCAAGATTTATAAAAGTTTTATTAAATTCATTAGCCATGTCGAAATCGTTATCGAATTTTAAATGTGTATTTGTTTTTATTGAATAAATTTTTGTTTTATTACAACACTTCTTTAGGTTTTTAACCGTATTCCATAGTTTACATTTATCGTTTATACTTTCTTCGAATATTCGCTGGTAATATGTTTTTTTTTGTTTGAGATATGGACTTGCTTGCTTGTAGGCGAAGTTTATTATATTGGTTTTTTAATTGGGTATTGTTTGGGTTATTCTTGCTAAGTTTGTAATACTTGTTTTTTTCATTAATTAAGTTTATTAAATTGGAATTTATCCATTCATTTCTTTTCTTATCAGAAGATTTGATACTTTTATAGGTAATACTTTCATTAGTTTTCTCATTAACTATGTTTAGAAATTCATTTGTAGCGTCGTTAATATTATCATAGTGGTAGAGACTATCCCAATTATACTCAATTAGGTTATTATTCAATTTTTTGTAGTTTATGAATTTAATATAGAGATTATTACTGACTTTTTTTTTAATGGGACCCTATTAAAGATTATTTGTAGAGCAATAGTGTAGTGATCTGTAATGTTTTTACCACAATTGGAAGGAGAAGTTCTTTATCGCGGCGAGTTTTAACAAAAATATGGTCAAGACAGGATTTAGATTCATTTATTTCTCTGGTGTATGTGTTTATGGCTGAAATAAAGTCAAATTCTGATAATATATCAAGATATTGGTGACTGATCTCATTTTGCTGTTTAATGTTTATGTTGATGTCACCGATTATCAGACTATAATCCGATTTTAGATAATGATTATTGGTGTGTAGGTAATCGTTAAGATTTGCAAGGAATTCTTTTGGATCAAGAGATGGCGATCTATAAATTGCTAATAAGTGAATTTTGGATTTTTGATACTTAATTTTTAATTCTATTATACATATCTCGTGGAACTTGACAATACGACTTGAAAAGTGAATGTTTTCCTTCACAAATATCAGGACACCGTCATTTTTGTTGACTTTACCCCCGTTGTATAAAGTAGCGTAACCCAAGATATTGAACAGAGAGAAGTCCTCCAGAATGTGGGTTTCAGTTAAAATTATGATATCATGGGATTCGGTTAAATTGTTTAACTCAATTTTCAATTCATCGAGGTTTTTTTGGACACTTCTAATGTTCATGTGAATTATTTTAATATTATTTGTATTGCTATTTATTTGAAAAACTTCACTGCACTCTTTCAGTGAGTGCGTGATCTCAGTTTTGATTTCATCTATGTAAAAATTGTTTATATAGTTATCCATCATGTGAATGAACCATAGAAGAAGGGGAATCCAAGAGTATGATTAAGTAATTTTATAATATATGTTCACGTTATACGTGAAATAGTAGAATTCGTGCTCTGCTTTTAAAGCATGGAATATTAAATTGAAAACTTTAATGTTAAAGGAGTGCAAAAAATAATAAATAGGTATTAAGATTACTTAATTATTTAAATTAAAATCAAACATAAGCAAAAAGAGTTGTGGACAATTACGTAGATAGATATTAAATTTTTTTTTCTTTTTTTTAACACATAAAAACACATAAACTTACGAAAAAAAAATAATAAATTATTATTGTTATTAGTTAAAGGGAGATCAAATTGCAGCCAAATTTGATCTTAGATTTAGTAATGCAGGTTTTTGTGTTTTTATCTCCGTTTTATTTTTCTTGTTTGTGTCTTGCTCGGTTTCTTCCAAAGGTCTTTTTTTATTAGTCTCTGTTGATTTGTTTTCCGCTTCTATTTCTACGATTTTCTCTTTTCCTTCGCCGGCGTTAGTATTTTCTTCTGCTCCCCTGTATTCTTGGAGTTGTCTTGAAGTAAATTTTTGCCCGTTTATTATGACGAATGTGTCCCTTAGTGAGCAGTTAATTTGTTTTTCTTTTGCTTCCTTGTAGAATTCCCAAAGAACCTTCTTTTCTTCTCTTTCTTCTCTGGTGAGGTCGTTTGAGATAGAAATATTGGTGCCCTTTAGTTTTGTGATGTTTTTAAATAGTTCCTGTTTTTTTATGTTAGAAATAAATTGAACTAATACCGGTCTGTTTTTTTTATCGTTTTTTCCCAATCTGTAAATGTTATGTATATCTTGTTTCTCAATATTAATGTTTAATTTATTTTCTAAGAGGTTTTTAAATTGTACCAATTCTGGTTCTGATTCTGGTAGACCGTATACAATTATATTGTTATTTTTTAATTTTGAGTTTAGCTGTTTGATTTCTTCTTTTAATAGTTGGTTTTCAGTTTGCAGTTCTTCGATTTTTTTTGAGTTTTGTTGAAGATTTTTTGTATGGTCTTCTATTGTAAGCTGAAGATTGTTGAGTTGTTCTTGTATGGTTGAGAATTGTTTGTTATTTGAATCAGTCGATGCTTGAATTGCAGCTAATAGAGTCTCATTTGTGATATTCATCTTACGAGTTGCTTATTGGTAGTTAGTTGATTTCTAATTACTTCAATAAGCACCTTGGCTCAGCGGAAACGCACCCGACTCCGACCCAGGCAGTCACGAGTTCAATCCCCGGTGGACGCAAAACACACGCAGGGAATTTTTATTCTCTTGTTTTGAAGTTTTTTATGGTTATTGTTTTTTGCACTTATAACCTTGTTCAATGACACTTTTGTAAAACACTAAATTTAGAGTTTTGAGTTTGTGGCACTTACTTGCAGTATAATAACATTTTGAATTAGTCAATCAGTCCCTGGTTTATAAAATGTTGCACTAAAAAATATTTAGATGGATTGTTTAATCACAGTTTCTTAGCATTTCAGCGGAGCAGATACGTTCACGTTCACGGTTAGGTATTAGAAAGATGTCAAGGGTGGGAGCTCTGTGTTTTGGGGGCATTATTTGGGTATGTCGGAGATGGACTTCGTTAGGGCGAGGATGGCTTGGTCTTGTGAGTTGAATTTTGCATCCATTCCAGAGGTGAGACCGTTTATGGAGTTGATCAATGTGGCTATGAGAGTGGTGAAGTCTGGGGCAGGATTGTTGGAGACAGTGGATTGCGAAAATGGGGGAGGGGGAGTGCACGCTTGGCTTAAGGTTTTAACCAGGGCTGGTGGAGGTATATTCGCTGGTTGGGTTGTGGTTGGTTGGGCAGGGGCAGTTAAGCCTGAATTATAGATTGCCTTCCTTCCTTCCTCCCGTAGTCGTGCCCGTACGATTTCTGCGTCCCGTAAAAAGTCAATTTATAGATTTCCGTGTATAATTCCGTAACCATGGGCGATGACACCTAAAATGGTTGACATTTGTTTTTGTTTATATTCTGCGTTTTAGGGTAAACTTTTACCTATTGTGTGTAAATATGAAAGATAAACATTTATATATTAGTGCAGTGATCACAATTTTAATTGGCCAGGCAGCTTGTTGTATACTGCCCAACTATGGAGAAAGGCAGTAACTGCTAAACAAGAAATTTGTGGGAAATTAGCATAAACTACATTTTTATAAAAAGCAGTAGGTATTTAACTGATTTATTTAACTTATAAGATAGTTTACTGCATAGAAAAAGGTTTACTCCACTTCTTTGTTGAATTAAGATACAAAATGTCCATAGCTTTATCATAGCACAAGAAAACACATTTAGAATTTTTTTGTAGTTACTGCCTTTCTCCATAGTAGGGCAGTATAATGAAAAAAAAACATCGAACAAGACCGGGAAACTACGGGGTTTTACAAAGCAAAGTTTCTAAAAATGAAAGACATTGATCATAAACAATATCTAAATATCCTATTTAGAGACACAAATTATTTAATAAACTGAACACCTATCTTAAATAATACTAAACAATCATGTATTTTAAATATTTTGTGCCTACGCGCTGTCACCCTACAGCGCATGTCCATAACAAGCACTGTGATTGGTCATTTCAAAGACCTTTACGGTAAAAGATAAAACTTAAACATTTCTACGGGAGGAAGGAATGCCTTCCTTACGGTACGGGAATCTATAACTGGCACTACGATTTAAATAAACATTTTTGACGTAATTGTCACCATTAACATTGCCCGCTATTAATTTTAATTAAACTTAACAATTATTGATACTTTAAAATATTAAAATAACTTCAAAATATGATTTTGTTAAGAAAATATTTTATCCTTTGATTTTTTTTATTACTTTAATTGCAAAATATTATCACAAAATATTAAAAATTCTTACACGGGAAATGTTAATGGTGACAATTACGTCAAAAATGTTTATTGGGTTTCGCATTGTTCATCTTCTACGGGAGGAAGGAAGGAAGGAAGGAAGGCAATCTATAATTCAGGCTTTAATTTGATATTGGGGTTTCTTGGGCACACCGGGGCGTTAGCCTTGTGCTCTTCGGTGTTACCTCCTTGGCCTTTGTACATTCCCAAGAATGATGCCCGCCCGCGCACTTGACACAGCGGGGGAAAGCGGAACATTTTGTTTGGGCGTGCCCGTACTTTTGACAGCGGTAGCACTGCGTGATGATGTTTTTTCGCTCTAAAGGTTCAACCTTAACTTTGATCCTGAGTAGGTAGGAGAGACCAAAGATGCGGTCTTCTTCTGGGGGGACCTTTACCACAACAAGGGGCATTTCAGTTTTCAGTTGACCTCTGTGGTAGTTGGGGTGATAGTTGTGGTCTTTAAGGTCCTGCTCGACGTCGGAAATGGGAATTTCAAGGGGGAGGCCTCTGATGACTACCTGGACGGTTTTTTCTTCCTGAAGCATGAAGGTATGGCATTCCTCTCCATTTTCGGAGAGGAACTTAGTTATGCCACGGTAGTCATAACTGGTGATAGGGAAAAATTTTACGCCGTCTTTAGTGTTAATGGCTTTGGAGAAGGAGAAGCCCAGTTTGGAGATGGCGCCGGATACCCTGGTCCACCTGGCTTTTTGTCTTAAAATTATTGGCGGAATTTTATTCTGCTTTGGCAATTTGGTTGGGCTGGGTTAGCTGGGGGGGTGTAGTCTTTGGAGCTGTTCTTGGTTTTAGCTAGAGCAGGTTTGACGAAGGCTGGGGGGGTTTGGAGGTTGGGGGAGTGTAGTTTGGGACCTTTGTTCTGATGTGAGTCGGCAAAGGAGGCACCTCAATATTCGCCAGTGGCGGTAGAGGAGAAAAATCTGGTTATCTGGGGGTGTAATAGAAAGGGCAGTGTCCATGTGCGCTGCAGTTGAGCTTGTACTTGGCGTGAAAGAAGTGACTCTTCTACGATTGTTGGAGTGGTCTGGCGTACTTGGGGAGAGGGCCGGGTTGGACGCAGCTTTGTCTTGAATTGGATTGGTAAGTGCTATGATATTTGGATTTAGAGATTCGATTTGGACTTGATTGGAGATCTGAGTGATAAGGGTTTCAACCATGTCAATAAGCCTGGCGTTTTCACGCTGGAGGCGAATTTCCTCATGGCTTTGTAGGCGATCTTAAAATAGGTTTTTTGTATGAGAGTCATAGCTTGAGTGAACGAGTTCCGTAATTTTCATTTCTATGTTTGGGGAAATGGAGAATTTTGTTTTGTCCGAGGGCTTTGAATCACCCCCGGTTGGATAATTAGATTTTTTATCCTTGTCCTTGTCTTTTTTAGGTTTTCTGGGCTCTTTACCTTTGTCGAGTTTGGCCTGTTGCGTAGATGGGGGCTTACTGCCCTTGACAGGTGTGCGGTCAATTTTACTTGACTTTACGAAGGCAGGGGACTCAAGGTCCGTATAGAAAAGACCCAGGGAAGGAATTTCCGAGGGTTTTAGGGGAGAATGTGGCTTTTTATCTGCCATAATTGCAGATTGCAGCCTATTTTAGTATAGACAAATAATAGATATTTTGCTGGGCACATAGAAGTGACCAGAGTGTGTGCTAGTTGGTTTTTAGTCAAAACTGTGATTAATCAAAATTAAAGTATTTGACTTTATCAAAAAAAAGACGTGTAAAATCACGAATAATTAAGCAGTAGCAGTGCACGAGGTGAAGATTTTTGGCAGACCAATGAGCGGTCTAGAAAAGGGGGCGGGTCTTGTGAGCTCTGTGTGTGAGCTCGGGCTATAAAGCCTGCGAGCGACCTGTGGCCGCAGCAAATCCTTCGCAGCGGCCGAAGGCTATGGATCACGATTTTTGGTGTAAATTAACAAATTATATGTATAAGCATAATTCCAAAAGTAAGAATAAAAATATAGAACAAGTAAATGACACATGATAATAAAATATACAATAAAATTTGATAAGATAAATGGGACGGGCACATACAATAATTACTGACCTCGTGCACGTAGTAGAACAAAATATAGGGGCACAAACAAAAAACGAAGCATATAGGGACCGACGCCTACTGGGTCCGGCGTCGGTTGTTCCTGTCTGCTGGACTAAACACTGATATATGTGAAAAAAAGGCCTATCGAGAAGCTCTGTTTTCAACCAATCAAAATAAAAAAAGGACGTTTTCTATTGGTTTTCCTAAATTTTAAGATTTTATCAAATGACCTTATTTGGGCATACTTAATTTTAAACCTTCTATTTTGTTCTAGAAGCTTTATTTTCGTGACCAAATAAGGTAATGAAACGAGATTCAATATCTTATTGGTTTCAAATTTCTCTAAATTTAATATAAATAGTAATTGTTTAATTATGTAATCCATTTAAGCAGTGGTACTTTAGTTTTGTAAATAAATCTGTTTGGATTAAAATTGCACTTCCCTGCTGTAATATTTTATTTTAAAAACCGACCGGTTTCGCCTTACGGCATCTTCAGGGTTTCTACAAGAGGTACATAAATAGATATTAGATACATATTGTAACAGACTGTTTTTTTAGAAATTAATTTAGTTTGGTAAATAAACGAAAGTCAGTCAATTCCTGTGTTGGGGCTTTATTTTCTAAGTAAAGGTATAATGTGTATAGGTAACTAAATTAATCTTTGTGTTTTAGTTAAGATTTAATTGTAATTATGTATAAGTTTTATTTAAGTTTAAATTGCTATTATCTTTTCACGGTACATACTGTATAACAAAGCAGGCTGTATAGCACAGTCTGCCTCTGAACAAACTAAAATTTACTAATATGGTCAGCCATTTGTGAATCTGATTTTGTGGCACACTTAAGGTGAATTAATTGCCCAAAATCTAAGATATTTAAGTAATCAATTGTTGAAATTTGTGTAAAAAGGCTCAAATCTTGTGGGTAAGTTCTGCTGTACATTACAATTGGGATATTTTCCAACAATTTCTTGTATTTTTCGTAATTAGGCCTTTTTTGGTTGGATTTGCCTCCATGGTAAACATTTTTGGGAATCGGTTGGTTTTGTGAAGACTAGTTTACCGTTGTATTGACACCAGTCCTAGATACAACTTGGATTCCATTAAAAGGCTGCAATTGATCTACAAATAACGTAAAATAAGTTGGTTGGATAACCAGGACTTCTCGACAATACCTGATTGTGGAGTGGAATATAGTAACCAGCCAGTTGTGGACTTACATCCCATCGTTTCCGTGCCTTGTGGTTGCCGGATTTGTAAGGTTTCAGCTTGAAACTACCCTCAAGTAAGCCATTAACTTAAATCTGTAAAAAATATAGTTTGTAACCTATTATTAAAAGTAATGAGTACTTACCTAGTGTAAAAGACATTCGATTAAGTTTTTAAGATAGTTAGGGCCTTAATTTAGTTGGAATTTTGTAAAACAAACGTTTATTTAAGTTGTTTTGGTTCTGTCAACTCTCACTGCGAAATTCACAGCCATGCGCTGTTGCTTCTAACGCAGGCGCGGTAGGCATCGCACCATAGATGACCGCACAGTGCGACAAATGTTTTAATTTTTGTTAGCATCGCACAGTGCGACAATTGTTTTAATTTTTGTTAAATTTACGAGTATAAATTAAATTGTATTTAAATTGCAAACTAGTGTTATTGTGAAATTTTTATCCCGACTTCCTGTTGAGTTTGTCGCAACTGGCGCCCTTGACTCAAGATTTTCATTCATACTTACCTGAATCCCGACCTAGCGTCGACAAATAAGAGTTGCCGAGGTAAGTGCGCTATATTTTTATTTTTTTAATAAAGTTAGTGTCACAAAATTGGCACCGTGCAACGTGGGGCCCAGAAAATCTTGAGTACCTTTTCCTGTTTCCTTTTCTCCTTTCCTAGTTTTCACAATAACAAAAGTTCGCCTTGCTTAAGTAGGGGACAATTACTTGGGTAGTTTTAAAGTTTAAAATATTAGGTGGTATATCCAATTTTTTATTTGTTTTAAAATAATTATTATATAATTATAATTGATTATGGAGAACCTGTACGTTATAGACCCTTCTTACCTGAGTGAATCAGAAATAGATTACGAGCTTAATATAAGGGATTTAGCTTGTAATAATGTTGATATTAGTACCAAGACAAAATGCTTAAGTATTTGTTTTAAAACGGATGCAAATAAACCTACTACTAGGTATGATATTTCTAATCTTAATTTTGAAACTGAAAAGTCACAATTAGACATTAGTATCAAAACCTTACAGACAATCTCCTCTGATTTAAATGTTTATGATGAAGACGTTCACCATCAGTTTATGGCTAAATATAGACACATTTTGGGTCGGTTAATGCGTTTGCCTACTGATAATAAGAATGAAGAAATTAGAGAATATCGCGCTAGTAATATTGTTAAAGTCACCGCTCTAGCTGCTGATGTTGCCTTAGTATCTAGTCAAGATGCGACTTTTAATTTTTCTCTACTTTCTTCTGCACCATCTGAACATTCAAGTAACCAAGGGGGGAAACATAAAACTCCTATTTTTAAGTGGGGAATAACTTTTGATGGAACGAATGAAGTCTGGTCGGTTAATAGTTTTTTACAGAGAGTAAAAGAGCTTCAGGAAGCGAGGAATATTTCTGAAAGTGAATTGTTTTTGTCAGCGGTTGACCTATTTTCAGGGGTAGCACTACATTGGTATCACTCCATTAAAAGTATATTAATAGATTGGACTTCCTTGGTTCAAGCTTTGAGGCGTGACTTCCTACCAGTGGATTTTGATGATGCTTTGTGGGACGAGATTCGTAGTAGGACTCAAGGTTCGGAGGAGAAGGTTACTCTCTACATTTCGGTGATGCAAAATTATTTTAGTCGTTTGACCAAGAGTGTAAAAGAGGAAGAACAGTTAAAGGTGATCAAAAATAACTTACTCCCAGAATATCAATCGCACATCGCGTTGCGTAATATTACCACCATAGCGCAACTTATTGCTGATTGTCGATTGCTTGAAAACGCTAAAGTTATCAAGCGTAAATTTGTTGCCCCTCCTTCAAAACATACAGTCGCAGTCGAATCCGATTTAGCTTATTCAGGAGTGGAGCGGTCTAAAAGTTCAGCTCCCAATAGATTTTCGAAACCTACTCTTTCTGCGTTGAAATGTTGGAATTGTTCTGCAGATGGTCATTCAGTTAAATTTTGCAAGAAGCCGATTAGTGGACCCATTTGTTTTGGTTGTGGGACTCATGGAGTTAAACGTCCTGAGTGCCCTAAGTGCTCAAAAAACTTAACTTCGGGAAACGCTCAGTAGGTCGGCGTAACCTGTGCTTGTCTGGGAATAAGGCCTCACCAAAAACCACTCGGAGTGAATGGAAGTCATGGTGTGAGTATGTTTGTAAATTTTATCAAAATTCAGTGTGTAGGCGTTATTTGTAAATCGGGTTTGTGACAATAGGCTACATATTAATGTTAGCATTTTAGGTAGTAATGTCGTTGCACTGGTTGATACTGGAGCTAGCCATACAGTAATTGGTAGTAAGGGTCTGTATTTATTAGATTTATTTGATTTAAAGGTGTTTGACAGTGTTGGTTCTCGTTTGACAACTGCAGATGGAGTTTCTCAGGATATTAAAGGGCTCGTTAATCTTAAAGTAGAGAATCACCTCAAAGTCATGAAGGTTCTTGTTGTGCCATCTGTTGATTATTGTTTAATTTTGGGGACTAATTTCTTGTATAGTTTTGGTTTTAAGATAGACTTTGTAAATAAACTATTTTTTGTTAAGGGAGAAGATCATTTTCTTGATGTTGTAAATGTTATTTCAGATCAATCTGAATTAAATAGTGCTCAACGGTTAGCTTTGAATTCGGTAATAGCCAAGTTTCAGGAGTTATCGTATGTTAAAGGTACTAAGTTGGGTCGTACCAATAAAATAGTGCATAAAATTGACACAGGTACATCTTAACCCATTAAACAGCGCTCTCATCCCATGTCTCCTTATATGCTGGAGCATCTCTATAAGGAATTAGATAAAATGCTGGAGTTAGGTGTTGTTAGGCCTTCAAACAGTGCTTGGTCTAGCCCCGTTCTTTTGGTCAAAAAATCCAGTGGTGAGTGGAGATTTTGTTACGATGGGCGAAAATTGAACTCGGTGACGAAAAAAGACGCCTACCCTATGCCGTTGGTAGACTCTATCCTTCAAAAATTGAGCGGTGCTCGTTTTTTATTCAGTCTTGACTTAAAGCAAGCGTTTCTTCAAGTTCCTTTGGAAGAGTCCAGTTGCGAGAAAACAGCTTTTACGATCCTTGGTCGTGGTCTTTTTGATTCACGGTTATGCCCTTTGGCTTGTGTAATTCTCCCCAAACTCAAATGCGTCTTATGAACTCCGTTTTAGGCCCTGACTTGGAACCTTTCTGTTTTGTGTACCTTGATGATGTCATCATCGCCACTCCTAGTATTGAGAAGCATTTGGAAGTCTTAGAGGAGGTTCATCGACGGCTCAAGGATGCAAATCTCACCCTTAACCTTGACAAGTGTGAATTTTGTCGT